AAACCAAGATTGAGTTGTTTGGGAAGAACACACAACACTATGTGTGGAGAAAAAAAGGCACAGCACACCAACATCAAAACCTCATCCCCACTGTAAAACATGGCGGAGGGAGCATCATGGCTTGGGGCTGCTTTGCTGCCTCAGGGCCTGGACGGATAGTTGTCATTGATGGGAAAATGAATTCCAGAGTTTATCAAGACATTTTGCAGGAAAACGTACGACCATCTGTCCGCCAACTGAAGCTCCGCAGAGGATGGGTGATGCAACAGGACAATGACCCAAAGCATACAAGTAATTCAACAAAACAATGGCTGCAACAGCACAGAATACGCCTTCTGGAGTGGCCCAGTCAGAGTCCTGACCTCAACCCGATTGAAATGCTGTGGCATGACCTTAAGAGAGCGATTCACACCAGACATCCCAAGAATATTGCTACACTGAAACAGTTTTGTGAAGAGGAGTGATCCAAAATTACTCCAGATCATTGTGCAGGTCTGATCTGCAACTACAGGAAACGTTTGGTTGAGGTTATTGCTGACAAAGGAGGGTCAACCAGTTATTAAATCCAAAGGTTCACATACTTTTTCTTCCCTGCACTGTGAATGTTTACATGTTATATGCAAATAAACCATGGCAACATCTAATGTTTGTGTAGTATTATGTTCAGCAGACTGTGTTCTTCTATTGTTGTGACTTAGATGACGTTCAGAGCACATTTTATGCCCAATTCATGCAAAACTCCACGTAATCCCAAGGGGTTCACATACTTTTTCTTGCAACTGTAATTAGCACACATTTGCAAATACACACGTAAGCTACAGAGCCTCTTCACGGCACCCTGATGCTCTGTAGTCCTAACTCTAAAAATTTTGAGAGCCCCAATAGTAGAGGCACATGCATTTAATGGATAGACCAAGGGCAGATGGACCTAAGGGAGCCCACCCCTCCTTAAAGGTATAGGAGCACACTGGACACTCAACATATACAGTTGCAAGAAAAAGTATGTGAACCCCTTGGGATTACGTGGAGTTTTGCATGAATTGGGCATAAAATGTGCTCTGAACGTCATCTAAGTCACAACAATAGAAGAACACAGTCTACTGAACATAATAATACACAAACATTAGATGTTGCCATGGTTTAATTGCACATAACATGTAAACATTCACAGTGCAGGGAGGAAAAAGTATATGAACCTTTGGACTTAATAACTGGTTGACCCTCCTTTGGCAGCAATAACCTCAACCAAACGTTTCCTGTAGTTGCAGATCAGACCTGCACAATGATCTGGAGTAATTTTGGACCACTCCTCTTCACTAAACTGTTTCAGTGTAGCAATATTCTTGGGATGTCTGGTGTGAATCGCTCTCTTAAGGTCATGCCACAGCATTTCAATTGGGTTAAGGTCAGGACTCTGACTGGGCCACTCCAGAAGTCGTATTCTGTGCTGTTGCAGCCATTGTTTTGTTGAATTACTTGAATGCTTTGGGTCATTGTCCTGTTGCATCACCCATCCTCTGCGGAGCTTCAGTTGGCGGACAGATGGTCGTACGTTTTCCTGCAAAATGTCTTGATAAACTCTGGAATTCATTTTCCCATCAATGACAACTATCCGTCCAGGCCCTGAGGCAGCAAAGCAGCCCCAAACCATGATGCTCCCTCCGCCATGTATTACAGTGGGGATGAGGTTTTGATGTTGGTGTGCTGTGCCTTTTTTTCTCCACACATAGTGTTGTGTGTTCTTCCCAAACAACTCAATCTTGGTTTCATCTGTCCACAGTATATTTTGCCAGTAGTGCTGTGGAACATCCAGGTGCTCTTTTGCAAACTTCAAACGTGCTGCAATATTCTTTTTGGACAGCAATGGCTTCTTCCGTGGTGTCCTCCCATGTACTCCATTCTTGTTTATTGTTTTCCTTATTGTAGATGTGTCGACAAAAATGTTAGCATGTGCCAGAGATTTCTGTAGGTCTTTAGCTGACACTCTGGGATTCTTCTTTACCTCATGCAGCATTCTGCGCTGTGCTCTTGCAGTCATTTTTTCAGGATGACCATGCCTATGGAGAGTAGCACCAGTGCTAAACTTTATCCATTTGTAGACAGTCTGTCTTACCGTGGACACATGAACATCAAGGCTTTTGGAGATACTTTTGTAACCCTTTCCAGCATCATGCAAGTCAACAATTCTTGATCGTAGGTCTTCTGAGAGCTCTTTTCTGCGAGGCATGGTTCACATCAGACAGTGCTTCTTGAAACCAGTAAACCCCAAAACAGTGTGTGTGTTTTTTAAGGGCAGGACAGCTGTCAGCAACACATCCAATATCATCACACTGATTGGAGTCAAGGTTGGCTCACTCCTGGCTCCAATTAGCTCTGGGAGAAGTCATTAAGCTAGGGCCTCACATACTTTTTCCTCCCTGCACTGTGAATGTTTAAATGTTATGTGCAATTAAACCATGGCAACATCTAATGTTTTTGTGTAGTATTATGTTCAGCAGACTGTGTTCTTCTATTGTTGTGACTTAGATGACGTTCAGAGCACATTTTATGCCCAATTCATGCACAACTCCACGTAATAACAAGGGGTTCATATACTTTTTCTTGCAACTGTAGCACAATGGCAGCTAAGGTTTCCAGTGTGCCCTCTCACCAACAATTCAACAGTACAAATGGCAGCTGCCCCAGTCTAACTGGCCTTCACAACAAGGAGCACATGGAAGGGCAACGCATGTCAAACTAAAAAAAGAGACAAATTCCTAGCTCAACTTGCCAACCAGCCTGCAAACAAACCAAATTAACCTGTCTAACAGTATGCGTTAAAAATAGGGGTTTAGTTAACACAAATTTGCCACAGAGCCTTGTCACGGCACCCCGATGCTCTGTAGTTCCTAACTCTACAAAATTGGGCTCCGACTAGGCCATGCAAGGACATTCACCCATTTTTTTTCAACCACTGTGTGGTCATTTGTCCTGTATGCTTTGGGTCATGTTGGAACATAAACCTTCTTCCCACTGACAACTTTCTGGCAGAGGGCAGCATATTTTCCCCAAGAATTTGACAGTATTTTTCCGCATACGTTTTTCAATTCTATCCTGGTAAATGCTCAAGTCACTGCTGCAGAGAAACACCCCCATAACAGGATATTACCACCTCCATGCTTTATTGTAGGAACAGTATTATTTGGATGATGAGCTGTGTTAGATTTCCGCAAAACATATTGTTTGGTGTTGAGGCCAAATAATTCAATTTTAGTCTCATCTGACCATAACATCTTTTTCCATGTGGCCTCAGAATCTTCAAGGTGCGTTTTGGCAAAGCTCAGTTGTGACTGCGTGTGGCCTTTTCTTGAGTGGGTTTTTTTCTTGTAACCCTCCCATACAAGCCACATTTGTGGAAAATGTGTGATATTGTTACAGTCACATGCACACAATGACCACTGTCATAATGTTTCATGCTGCGCTAATCAAAATGACCACAGCTGATCACATTTGAAAGTCAAATGTCTTTGTGTGCCATTGAGAAGGTGATTAGCTTCACTTGATTGAGTTTACAAGTCAGTTTAGGAGGGGGGGGATGTGATCCTTTTTTCCACCTCAGTGATTCTGCTTTTTATTTTTTTTAATTGACATGTTGGTGTTATATCTTTCACTTGGATGTTATAAGTTGCACTGGGAAAACAGTACAGCTGGATAAAACAAAAATCTGTATTCATTTCAGGCTACAAAACAACAAAATGTGATTATTTTAAAAAGGGGGGGGGGGGTTCTATATTCACTTTTTATGTAAAAACCCAAAAATCTATAAATAAAACATTTACACAGAAAGATGTAATGAACCTTTCATGATAGAAATAAAGGTGTCACCATTCCTCTTTTTTTTTTAGACGTTTCACATTCCTTTCCTCCAATAATAATACTCCAGCTTTACTGTACACTTAGACTGTAAGCTCCAAGGAGCAGGACCCTCCTAACCCTCTTGTATTGAACTGTATTGTTGCTGTATTATCTCCCTTTATATTGTAAAGCGCTGAGCAAACTGTTGGCGCTATATAAATCCTGTATAATAATAATACTGTCTAGTGACTGATTGACTTGGAATAAGTTTGCAGCCACTGAATGTAGAACTTCTGATCTGCACAATACTCTGCTGGTGTTGCTTTTACCATTCCCTGAACTTGGGTAGGGAGGGTGCACGTGATCAGACTTATTGCAGATAATGTTATGATAATAAGATGCACTGCTATTTAGCGAGCAGAGGTTTTACATTGTAGATAATTCAGTAAGGATCTCATTGAAAAAAAAAAATCTCTCTTCTTTTTTTCGATCCTGCAGTGATGCTTAAAAACTAAACACTATGCAAACTAAAAAAGTGCAGGTAAACTGTTGGTATACAGCGTTCATGTATAAAGTGCAACAACTACACGAGTATTCAGTAGAGATATATTCTTCAACCAGTAGATGGCAGTTTCTAAGTTTGTAGCTGCATCTCTTTTCTCTGAATAAAATTTCCTGTGTCCTTGTTGCAGTGAAGCAGAAAAAAAACATGTGGACTGTGCACTGTCTGTTCTGTAGGGCTATATACAGATTTTCTAACAGGTAATGGGCCCAGTCATAGCCAGCTACAGCAAGTAAGCGCAAGATACAGCAACAGAGAGAGAACTGCAACAAAATAAAAGAAAATGCCCAGTAACACAGCTGCAACAAAGCTTTCGTTAGCAAATCTGACAAACCAGAACTACCAGTCTTGGAAATTCAAGATGAAAATGCTGCTAATAAGAGAATGTCAGTTGAAATATATAAAGGAAGTTTGGCCAGAACACCCTTCAGATGAGTGGACATAGAGAAAGATCAGTATAGAAAAAAATCAGAAAACTTAGAGCACAATCTCTCCTAGAATAGAAAATGATCAAATCATACATACACTATATTGCCAAAAGTATTGGGACACTCCTCCAAATCATTGGATTCAGGTGTTCTAATCACCTCCAAGGCTGTATAATATCAAGCACCTAGGCATGCAGACTGCTTCTACAAACATTTGTGAAAGAATGGGTTCGCTCTCAGGAGCTCAGTAAATTCAAGCATGGTACCGTGATAGGTTGACACCTGTGCAATAAATCCATCCCTGAAATTTCCTTGCTACTAAATATTCCACGGTCAACTGTTAGTGGTATTATAACAAAGAGGCGTAAAGCACGCTGCCACTGGACTCTAGAGCAGTGGAGACGTGTTCTCTGGAGTGACTAATCATACTTCTCTGTCTGGCAATCCGATAGACGTGTCTGGGTTTGGTGGTTGCCAGGGGTTGCCTGACTGCATTGTGCCAAGTGTGAAGTTTGGTGGAGGGGGATTATGGTGGTGGGTTGTTTTACAGGGGTTGGGCTTGACCCCTTGGTAACAGTTTAGGGAACTCTTAAAGCGTCAGCATACCAAGACATTTTGGACAATTTCATGCTCCCAACCTTTTGGGAACAGTTTGGGGATGGCCCTTCCTGTTCCAGCATGACTGCAGACCAGTGCACAAAGCAAGGTCCATAAAGACATGGATGAGCGAGTTTGGGGTGGAAGAACTTGATTGGCCTGTACAGAGTCCTGACCTCAACCCGATAGAACACCTTTGGGATGAATTGCAGCAGAGACTACGAGCCAGACCTTCTCATCCTACATCAATGCCTGACTTTACAAATTCGCTTCTTGAAGAATGGTCAAACATTCCCATAGACACACTTCTAAACCTTGTAGACAGCCGTCCCAGAAGAGTTGAAGCTGTTATAGCTGCAAAGGGTGGGCCACCTCAATATTGAACCCTATGGACTATATATGGGATGCCATTAAAGTTCATGAGCGTGTAAAGGCAGGCGTCCCAATACTTTTGTCAATATAGTGTATATGTAAGTGCAAAACTGCTAAAGAAATGTGGAAAGGATTGCAAAAGGTGCATGAAAGAGCTAATCTCAGCAATAAACTATTTGATTAGAAAGCTTTACTAAACCAAGCTGTTGAAAGGCCAGGATATGCAGGATTACATAAGGCACACCTTGGAAAGGGTTGAGTGCCTGAGAGGTATAGGAGAAGAAATAAACGATTTTCATGTTGCAGCACTATTGCTTAATGGTTTATCAGAAAGTTATGCTTGTCACAGCACTTGATGCATATCAGGATGATGAACTGAAATTGGAATATATTAAGGGCAAGCTTGTGGATGCCTATAAGCCTAAAATAGAAAGCATTATTAGTGACGGTGCTTCTGTTGCAGAGTCTGCTTTAAAGATGAAAAATTAAAAAAAAAAAAAAAAAAAAACAGTGACCTAAAACACGTGAATGTTTTGTGTGCAAACAACAAGGCCATTTAAAAGCAGATTGCAGAATCTGGAAAGCTAGAATGCAAAAACATACTAAACTACAAAAGACCAAAAGTGTAAAGGAAGAAACTGATTTTTCTTCAGATAATAAATATGTTTCTCTATTTCAATGGTTTTTATTCATTTTTTTAAACAATATAAAGCAGAGGCAATAAAACACCCCCACGCAGGGGCTATCAATTGCACAGATAAAAAAAATACAAAATAAAAAAAAGGAAAAACAGTGCTCTAACGCCAACAGGGCAAAAGGTACACCCACGCAGGGGCTATCAATGGCACATAAGTTGCAAAACAATGTAGCTGCCTATAACAACTAAATGCAGCTGTCCAGTCACACCAAAAACAGAGAGAGAGAGAAAAAGGAAGAAAGAGGAAGGAAAAAAAAAAAAGGGGGGGGGGGACAAAGAGCAGGGGTCCAAGAGCGCCAATACCAAACGCCATTACATCCCCAGACTAGCCGGGGGGGACTGAGGGAAAGGCATATTGCAACCACGGCTCCCATATTTTCAAAAATTTACGTTGGGAGTCGTTTCAGATACTCGACATCTGTTCGTTGAGCATCATAGTGGTCATACGATCCCGCACCCCCTGAAGAGGGACAAACGAACTCCTCCAGGCCTGAGCATTTGTTCTAGTGGCCGATAAAAACATATAGGAAGCCAACTTCTGCTGGTGAGCCAAGAGGCCCGGTATGGGGCAATGAAGCAAAGCATACCGAGCATCCCGGCGTATGGTGAGATGGAACAAGGTGAAAAGGAGGCCAAACGCACGAGACCAAAAACGAAACAGTCTCGGGCATGACCACCAGATATGCAATACATCTCCACGATGGCCACAACAACCCCGAAAACATTGATCACTACAGGCAGGGTTAGCCCGGGCCAACCGAGCCGGAACCCAGTACCAACGAAACAATACCTTATAGGCTGCCTCCAGTGTGGTCGTATTAAATGAGCATTTAGCTATGAGTGACCAGGCCTTATTCCAGTCCTCCGGATCCACAGCCACTCCCATGTCACGCTCCCACTGAACAACGTATGAAAGAGAAGTATGTGACGAGCATCTGTTCAGAGCTGCATAAAGAAGGGATAAAAGGGCCCGGAGCGCCCGGACGCTGTTGGCAAAGCTGTTCAAAGGCAGATTTCTGGTACGGGAAAGCAGAAGTGCCCCACAGTGAGAGCAGCCAGTGTCGCAATTGAAGATATTGAAAGAATTCCGCCGGGGGGATATTCCGGGATTCCCGAAGAGAGTTCCAGGTGGGAAAGGACCGAAAAATCAAAAAGTGTCGAACCTGCGAAAAACCATTAGTCACCCACCAAGAAAACGCCCCTGGGTGATCTAAACCCGGTGGGAAAAGAGGGTTGTTAATAATTGGGAGCAAAGGCAGAAAAGGTGACATCAGGCCACCAGAGTAACGTACCGAGTCCCAGACTTGTAAGCCATGAAGTAACATCGGACTCAGTGCCATAGGGCGCAGGGCAGGGGGAAGCCATAGAAGCGTCGACAGTGTGATAGGGGCACAATTTAGGTAGTTTCCAACAGGACCCAGAGGGGGATGTCGGAAGAGGCGTGCAACATAGACAGTGGGGCAATCTGGCTTGCTTGATAATACTTAGTTACATTAGGCACCCTAAGACCACCCTGAAGTCTATGGGCAAAAAGCGTAGTTTTGGATACTCTGGGGTGCTTATCGGCCCAGATAAAACGCATTAACTTCACCTGAAGCAACCGAAGAAAATGAGGGGGAAGCCGCACCGGGAGTGTGCGAAAATAATACAACAATTTCGGCAAGATGGTCATTTTCACCGAATTTACCCGTCCTATCCAAGACAGGTGCGGAAATTGCCAAGAATGCATAAGAGAGGATAGAGAGCTAAGCAATAGATAATAATTCTCAGCAAACAAGGAGTCATAAGTGGGGGTCAAGCAAATGCCTAAGTATTCAAGAGAAGAGGAAGCCCATTTGTAAGGGAAGTGGTATTGTAGGCATGAAACCAAATCTGAAGCTAAAGTAATATTGAGGGCGACAGTCTTATCCAAGTTGATACAGAGACCCGAAATCAAGGAGAAGTGCTCAAGAACCTGATGCAAATTAGGAAGCGTCGTCAGGGGGTCCGAAGCGCCAAGGCCAACGGCTCAAGCGCCAGGACAAAGAGCGCTGGGGACAGGGGGCAACCCTGTCTCGTCCCTCGCCCAATAGGAAAGGGATCTGAAAAATACCCAGCGTATTTAACGGAGGGCCGAAGGAGAAGAATACAAGGCCTGAATCCAAGAAAGAATAGAATCCCCAAAGCCCCAACTAGACAGCACAAACCGCAGATATTCCCAGGATAGAGAATCAAAGGCTTTATATATGTCTAAAGACAGTAAGAATCCCAGGATTTTCCGCTGTTGCAGAAAATGTATAAGATGGACTACCTTACGAACGTTATCACCCTCCTGCCTCCCGGGGACGATCCCTACTTGGTTCCTGTGGACCAGGCTACGGCAAATATATATTGATGCGAAAACTAAGGATCTTGCCCCATATCTTCAGGTCTTCATTAAGAAGAGAAATGGGCCGGAAGGCTTGCGGTTCCTGTACATCTTTGGTCGTCTTAGGAATCATGGCGATATGCGCTCTAAGCGCATCTGGAGAGGGCAAGGAGCCCTGTCGTAACGCATTAAAATAGTCAGCCAAAAAGGGCGCCAACAAGGCTGAGAATTTCTTATAATAAAGACCGGAAAAGCTGTCGGGACCTGGGGCCGCATAAATACGTTTTTCAATCCAAAAGTTGCACCTCATCTTTTCAGGCATGTTGTGTTAATTGAGGAGCTACCAGTTACATGACAAATTACAGAAATTTTTTTGTTCACCTTGACCTGGAGCTGCAATTCCACTTTAACCATTAAAATGTACTATCAAAGACACCCTATAAATAATTTTAGTCATTAACCCATAAAGACAATTGAATGTGTTTGCAAAATCTGACTGTCAAATTGTGCTCTTTTGAGAGATATGCACGTATCTATGACAAGACTTTATATGTTTATAGTTCTGTAAAACGGGAGATGGGAGAGCAGGAAGAAATCCTCAGTGCTGGTTTTTGGTAGAGAAACAGTGGCAATCAACTTAAATACTCACATGGTTGAAAGTGGACAAGTGGAAAATATGGACAGAAAGCTAAGGCTTCTTGCACATGGCCGCAAAAGGGATGCACTGTTCAATCCATCATCCGAAAATGGAAAGAGTATGGCACAACTGCAAACGTACCAAGACATGGCTATCCACCTAAACTGACAGGCCGGGCAAGGAGAGCATTAATCAGAGAAGCAGCCAAGAGGCCCATGGTAACTCTGGAGGAGCTGCAGAGATCCACAGCTCAGATGGGAGAATCTGTCCACAGGACAACGATTAGTCGTGTACTTCACAAATCTGGCCCTTATGTAAAGTGGCAAGAATAAAGCCATTGTTGAAAGAAAGCCATAAGAAGTCCCCATTGTAGTTTGTGAGAACCCATGTGGGGTACACAGCAAGCATGTGGAACAAGGTGCTCTGGTCAGATGAGACCATAATTGAACTTTTTGGCCTAAAAGCAAAACGATGTGTGGTGGAAAACTAACACTGCACATCTCCTGAACACACCATCACACTGTAAACATGGTGGTGGCAGCATCATGTTGTGGGGATATTTTTATTCAGCAGGGACAGGGAAGTTGGTCAAAGTTGATAGGAAGATGGATGGAGCCAAATACAGGGCAATCTTAGAAGAAAATCTATCTGTTAGAGTCTGCAAAAGACTTGAGACTTGGGTGGAGGTTCACCTTCAAGCAGGACAACGACCTTAAACATACAGCCAGAGCTACAAACGAATGGTTTAGATCAAAGCATAATCATGTGTTAGACTAGACTGGTCCAGTCAAAGTCCAGATCTAAATCCAATTGAGAATCTGTGGCAAGACTTGAAAATTGCTGTTTACAGACACTCTTCAGCCAATCTGACAGAGCTTGAGCTATTTTGCAAATAAGAATGGGCAAAAACTTCACTCTCTAGATGTGCAAAGCTGGTAGAGACATACCCAAAAGGACCTTGCAGTTGTAATTGTAGAGACTTGTACTTCATGCACACATCTTAAAGTGTTACTAAACCCACAATTGTAAAATCAGTCTGTGTATTCAGTAAAGCATGGTTGTTATACTCACTGTGGAACCTAATGGGTTAATCATTTGCATTGTGTAAAAGGCTGTTTGATCCTGCCTTCTCTGATCATCCCTTTCTTCCACTGTCCTCTAAATATCTCCTGATAGAACATAGGTTTGAAGTCATTCTGCAGATGCTCAGTTTGGTGTGTATTGCTAGAGAGTTTTTTTTTTCCCTTTGGCCTGTGCTGATCACATGCACCGTCCTATCAGCACTCTCCAGACAGAGGGTCAGGGGTCATGCAGCCTCATAGAACAGTCAGAGAAGAATGAAAACTCCTCCTACAAGCTTTAACCAATGCTCTGGTGGACACTGATAGTCACAAAACTGCTATATACTGCTGATGAGAAAAGTTATTTAGCAGTTTATATTTACTAAAATAATTGCATTTCCATGTTCTCAGGACCTGGGTGAATGCAGGGACCTGGGTTTAGTAAAACTTTAACTTTCTGTGTGGGACTGCTAATGGCAGCTTGAGTTCCCCAGGCATCCAATAAGACCACTGACTACTCGTATCATAACATAGCTGGACTACTGTTGAATATCTGAAAACTTTCTCAGATGTATCACACCTTTTAAAGAGCCACTGGTGAATTTGGTTTGGTCCTATTACCCCTCGTAGAGCACACACAGCCAGGCACACAGCATTTTCTGCACACTTCCACTGGCTTCAAAGAATAGTATAGGGGTTTCTCTTTGGGGTTTTATTGGGAACAATGAACTTGTATAGGGCGTACTTGATACCCTGATAAACTGTAGAATTGAAAAACTTGAGGACTCCTCAGCTTTCCAGCTGCACTGTGCACAGAGACCACAGGATCTCCAAGTTGATGGTGACTAGTACTCCTTCCAGAGTTTAAAAACTACAAAGAGTCACTACTCTTCAGCACTGGGGTCCTTTATTCACATTTAGCCAGAAAGCAGCTTCCATCTAGACTTCTGCCTCTGCACAAGGGTCTCCTTCTGCAGGACTGGAACCAGGAATACTGCGCTCTGCTGCTCAGGCCTCAGTGCCGATTCACACATATATGTGGATTGGATGTGGTTTGAACCGCATCCAATCTACATGACATATGAAATAACATTGCTTCCTATGGTGCCTGTTCACATACAGTTGCAAGAAAAAGTATATGAACCCCTTGTTATTACGTGGAGTTGTGCATGAATTGGGCATAAAATGTGCTCTGAACGTCATCTAAGTCACAACAATAGAAGAACACAGTCTGCTGAACATAATACTACACAAACATTAGATGTTGCCATGGTTTAATTGCACATAACATTTAAACATTCACAGTGCAGGGAGGAAAAAGTATGTGAGGCCCTAGCTTAATGACTTCTCCCAGAGCTAATTGGAGCCAGGAGTGAGCCAACCTTGACTCCAATCAGTGTGATGATATTGGATGTGTTGCTGACAGCTGTCCTGCCCTTAAAAAACACACACCTGTTTTGGGTTTACTGGTTTCAAGAAGCACTGTCTGATGTGAACCATGCCTCGCAGAAAAGAGCTCTCAGAAGACCTACGATCAAGAATTGTTGACTTGCATGATGCTGGAAAGGGTTACAAAAGTATCTCCAAAAGCCTTGATGTTCATGTGTCCACGGTAAGACAGACTGTCTACAAATGGATAAAGTTTAGCACTGGTGCTACTCTCCATAGGCATGGTCATCCTGAAAAAATGACTGCAAGAGCACAGCGCAGAATGCTGCATGAGGTAAAGAAGAATCCCAGAGTGTCAGCTAAAGACCTACAGAAATCTCTGGCACATGCTAACATTTTTGTCGACACATCTACAATAAGGAAAACAATAAACAAGAATGGAGTACATGGGAGGACACCACGGAAGAAGCCATTGCTGTCCAAAAAGAATATTGCAGCATGTTTGAAGTTTGCAAAAGAGCACCTGGATGTTCCACAGCACTACTGGCAAAATATACTGTGGACAGATGAAACCAAGATTGAGTTGTTTGGGAAGAACACACAACACTATGTGTGCAGAAAAAAAGGCACAGCACACCAACATCAAAACCTCATCCCCACTGTAAAACATGGCGGAGGGAGCATCATGGTTTGGGGCTGCTTTGCTGCCTCAGGGCCTGGACGGATAGTTGTCATTGATGGGAAAATGAATTCCAGAGTTTATCAAGACATTTTGCAGGAAAACGTATGACCATCTGTCCGCCAACTGAAGCTCCGCAGAGGATGGGTGATGCAACAGGACAATGACCCAAAGCATTCAAGTAATTCAACAAAACAATGGCTGCAACAGCACAGAATACGACTTCTGGAGTGGCCCAGTCAGAGTCCTGACCTCAACCCAATTGAAATGCTGTGGCATGACCTTAAGAGAGCGATTCACACCAGACATCCAAGAATATTGCTACACTGAAACAGTTTAGTGAAGAGGAGTGGTTCAAAATTTACTCCAGATCATTGTGCAGGTCTGATCTGCAACTACAGGAGAACGTTTGGTTGAGGTTATTGCTGCCAAAGGAGGGGTCAACCAGTTATTAAGTCCAAAGGTTCATATACTTTTTCCTCCCTGCACTGTGAATGTTTACATGTTATGTGCAATTAAACCATGGCAACATCTAATGTTTGGTGTGTATTATTATGTTCAGTAGACTGTGTTCTTCTATTGTTGTGACTTAGATGACGTTCAGAGCACATTTTATGCCCAATTCATGCAAAACTCCACGTAATCCCAAGGGGACATACTTTTTCTTGCAACTGTATGTCTGGTGCACTGTCAGTTCACATTCAGTGCGGATTGAAAAAGAGTTCTGTCCGATTTCTGAGACGTGCGGTCCAGTTCAGGTGCGAATTAAAGTCTATTGACTTCTATGGGAACCTTTTCTAAACCACACATGTCATCCGTTGTGAACAGGATAAAATCCTGACTTGAACCTGATCTAAACAACTACTGTGTCAATAAGCTATGAAACATGAGCTACAATTTGCACCGCACATGTGTGAATCCACACTCAAACTATTTATGGGCTCTCTCACCTACTGGGCACACCTCCTCAGGGATTGGCTGGATTCATAAATATTCAGGATGCACACTCTGTCCTTCCTCCCACTAGGCTTCTAGAATCCTCTAGAGTACAGTGGGGAGTAACAGAGCAGCCAGCTGTATAACACTGAGCCACCCCAGAAAATCAACCCCTGCTCCTCTGATTATAGTGGAGCTAACTAAATTTGCCTAGCAGCCTATTCTACACTAGGAGGGTGCTACACAGACAAGAAACATAGTCCAGTGATTTTAGGGACAGCAACAAGATCTAATATCTGTCTTCATCAGAGGATCTGGGAGTTTTGTTTAGGCATTTTATAAGGTGCAAGAACTAAAGCAACAGTTTCTTGGACAAGAAGATACCTAGTGCTGATGGATAACATACACTATATTGCCAAAAGAATTGGGACACTCCTCCAAATCATTGGATTCAGGTGTTCCAATCACCTCCATGACCACAGGTGTATAAAATCAAGCACCTAGGCATGCAGCCTGCTTCTACAAACATTTGTGAAAGAATGGGTCGCTCTCAGGAGCTCATTGAAATCAAGCTTGATACTGTAATAGGTTGCCACCTGTGCAATAAGTCCATCCGTGAAATTGCCTTGCTACTAAATATTCCTCGGTCAACTGTTAGTGGTATTATAACAAAGTGGAAGCAACTGGGAACAACAGCAATTCAACCACGAAGTGGTAGGCCACACAGAGCGGGTTAGCGCCTTCTGAAGCGCACAGTGTGCAGAAGTTGCCAACTGTCTGCAGAGTCAATAGCTGAAGACCTCCAAACTGTGTGGCCTTTACATTAGCACAACAACCGTGCACAGAAAACGTCATGAAATGGGTTTCCATGGCTGAGCAGCTGCATCTAAGCCTTACATCACCAAGTGCAATGCAAAGCATCGGATGCAGTGGGGTAAAGCACACCGCCACTGGAATCTGGAGGGGTTGGGCTTGACCCCTTACTTCCAGTGAAGGTAACTCTTAAGGCATCAGCATACTAAGACATTTTGGACAATTTCATGCTCCCAACTTTGTGGGAACAGTTTGGGGATGGCCCCTTCCTGTTCCAACATGACTATGCACCAGTGCACAAAGCAAGGTCCATAAAGACATGGATGAGCGAGTTTGGAGTGAAGGAACTTGACTGTCCTGGCCTTAACCAATTAGAACACCTTTGGGATGAATTAGAGGGAGACTGCGAGCCAGGCCTTCTCATCCAACATTCATGCCTGACCTCACAAATGCCCTTCTGGAAGAATGGTCAAACATTCCCATAGAAACACTCCTAAACCTTGTGGACAGCCTTCCCAGAAGAGTTGAAGCTGTTATAGCTGCAAAGGGTGGGCCAACTCCATATTGAACCCTACGGACTAAGACTGGGATGCCATTAAAGTTCATATGCATGTAAAGGCAGGCACCCCAATACTTTTGGCAATATAGTGTATGTACCTTCTCCCTTCTTGGGAGGCCTTATGAGGTACCCTTGCTTAACAATATACCTTGAAAATCCTGCAGCACATAGAGCATATTTATCCTGCAGAGAATAGTTTCTGCATACAGTGAGGAACAGAAGTATTTGAACACCCTGCGATTTTGCAAGTTCTCCCACTTAGAAATCATGGAGGGGTCTGAAATTTACATTGTAGGTGCATTCCCACTCTGAGAGCCAGAATTAAAAAAAAAAATTCAGGAAATCACATTGTATGATTTTTAAAGAATTTATATGTCTTGCACTGCTGAACATAAGTATTTGAACACCTGAGAAAATCAGTGTTAATATTTGGGACAGAAGCCTTTGTTTGAAATTACAGAGGTCAAATGTTTCCTGTAGTTCTTGACCAGGTTTGCACACACTGCAACAGGGATTTTGGCCCACTCCTCCACACAGATCTCCTCTAGATCTGTCAGGTTTTGGGGCTGTCTCTGAGCAACACGGAGTTTCAGCTCCCTCCAAAGATGTTCTATTGGATTTAAGTCTGGAGACTGGCTAGGCCACTCCAGAACCTTTGATATGCTTCTTACGGAGCCACTCCTTGGTTATCCTGGCTGTGTGCTTCGGGTCGTTGTCATGTTGGAAGACCCAGCCACGACCCATCTTCAATGCTCTGACTGAGGGAAGGAGGTTGTTGGTGCTCAAAATCTCACAATAAATGGCCCCATTCATCCTCTCCTTTAATACAGTGCAGTCGTCCTGTCCCCTTCGCAGAAAAGCACCCCCAAAGCATGATGTTACCACTCCCATGCTTCACAGTAGGGATGGTGTTCTTGGGATGCAACTCATCCTTCTTTTTCCTCCAAACACGACGAGTGAAGTTTAGACCAAAAAGTTCTACTTTGGTCTCATCTGACCACATGACTTTCTCCCATGTCTCCTCTGGATCATCCAGATGGTCATTGGCAAACTTCAGACGGGCCTGGACATGTGATGACTTGAGCAGGGGAACCTTCCGTGCAATACATGGTTTGAAACCATGACGGCGTAGTGTTCTACTGACAGTGACCTTTGAAACTGTGGTCCCAGCTCTCTTCATGTCATTGACCAGCTCCTCCCTTGTAGTTCTGGGCTGATTTCTCACCTTTCTTATCATCAGTGATACCCCATGAGGTGAGATCTTGCATGGAGCCCCAGTCCGAAGGAGACTGACAGTCATCTTTAGCCTCTTCCATTTTCCAACAATTGCTCCAAAAGTTGATCTATTTTCACCAAGCTGCTTGGCAATTGCCCCGTAGCCCTTTCCAGCCTTGTGGAGGTCCACAATTTTGTCTCTGGTGTCTTTTGACAGCTCTTTGGTCTTGCCCATGGTAGTTGTTGGCGTCTGACTGTGGGGGTGGACAGGTGTCTTTAAAGAGCTCAGACAGGTGCTACTAAGTTAGATTAATGAGTGGAGTAGAGGTGGACTTTTTAAAGGCACAAAAACAGGTCTTTGAGAGCCAGAATTCGTGCGGTTTCTTAGGTGTTCAAATACTTATGTTCAGCAGTGCAAGACAAATAAATTCTTTAAAAATCATACAATGTGATTTCCTGTTTTTTTTTTTTAATTCTGTCTCTCAGAGTGGGAATGCACCTACAATGTGAATTTCAGACCCCTCCATGATTTCTAAGTGGGAGAACTTGCAAAATCGCAGGGTGTTCAAATACTTCTGTTCCTCACTGTATGCCCTCCTTATTGTTTATTTTATTGTTTAGTATTTCACATTCATTATGGGCTTTCTTATGTAGGAATATATATATATAATAAAGGCTAAGGGGCTTGTTCACACCAGCAGCCACATTAAAGCCACAAGCCGCTGTGAAGCCGCAAGCCGGGTGCCCACACAGCCGGGTGCCCACACTGAAGATGCCAGCGCCAGGAAAACAAGACGGCCAGTGAAACCAGCAGTGGTGAGGACAAACCTGGACCGAGGGACAGATAAGTGGCTGTATTTTAAAAGTCAGCAGCTACAGTTTTTGTAGCTGCTGACTTTTTTTCTTCAGGTGTGTAAACATATTATTAAGAAGCACTGGCCCAGTATTAAAAACGATCGTTACTGGGTCCAACCTCACCAGAAAAACCCTCAGTTATTTTTAGGGGAGGGGGGTCTTATCACTTAGGAATAGGGTGGCTCCAACATTTATGATCCCCCTATACGTCCAACATTTTTCCATGATTGTAAGGGATTATTTCCTTGTAGAAAGCGCAATATATGCAGGGTCAATAAAAGATATTCAATTTTCATTCTACTTAAACATTGAGGACTTATGACATTCACTCCTTTATTACCTGCCATACTAAAAATGTAGTATATTTGCTTATCTGTCCTTGTGGTAAGCAATATATTGGACATACTACTAGGGAACTACACATTCGCCTCAATGAGCACATTGCAAATATTAGGAAGGGTTTTAAATGGCATAGTGTTTCACGTCATTACGCATTATTCCATAATAAGAACCCAGAAGGAGCTACCTTCTTTACCATAGACAAGTATGTTCCCCACTGGAGAGTAGGTAACACCAAGAGAGAGCTATCCCGACTTGAGGTCAAGTGGATTTATGACATTAAGGCCTATGTTCCATATGGTTTGAATGTTGACTGGGATATTAATTGTTTTATTAATAATAACTAGTTGTGTTTTCAATTTTAATTTATATTTTCTGTTAGGATCAGTACTGAGACGGCCGGCTGGTTCTTGAAATGTAATTTTAATTAAATTCTTTTTTCATTTATTTTGGTTTATAAACGATAAGTTATACAATTTTTAATGGAAATTTACCTAGTGGTGAATTGTTTGGTTCACCTCTGGGAGGTATGTTATCACTTTTAATTAATACTTTTTGAGATATGACAGTCTAACGATCACCGTGCTATACCAATGAGTTTGTCCTAGAAGTGTAATAATCTGTTCACCTCCGGGGGGGCATTACATTACTCTCATAAGCTACGATGCTTTAGTAATTTATTTTACTTTTATTAATTGGACTCAATTGTTATTCCAGGTCTGTCATGTATTCACATTTTTTTTAGGCTTTCACATATTTTTTATTTTGTTGCCTTGCTGCATCTTATATGTTCTGAGGTGTTTGCAGTTTAGCTGTGACATCCTTGGTCGTGGGACCCGACTAACTTGGCTCCTGTTGGCATCCTTATCAATCCTGGTGCCTGACCTATCACAGCCGGCTCTCTCTGTGCTTCCTCTATAAGAGCGTGGTGACAGACGTGCACCCTAGACCATTGATAAAGTCATTTCTGACAAAATGTGCTGGATAGAGTTAGGGTGGACATCACCGCACATGCTCGTGGCCATTTTTGAAGTGGGCACATGTGTTTTTTTTGCCAACCAACAATGCTGTTTGATGTCTTCATACATGTAAGTGCACTACTTTTGCTCTCAATTAAGGTTATTAAGGTTTTTTGCACTATGAGAAACTTTTTTGTCTTATACACTTATTCAATACACCTTGGATGTCGTTAACTCATGTGGAGTTTGGGAATGTTTACTTTTATCGATTTGGAGGAAGTTGGAGTGATTGCCACTGGATCATTTACATGCTGTATTTGACCATTCTATAATATGATGGTCAAATGCTTCTGGTAAGCTACCTTTGAGCACTGAGTAGGGTGATATGCACTGCACGATATTGCGTTTAGTCACATTCACGTATATAATCACCCACGACTGTACCTAAGAACAATTTACACTGAGTGGGGCAAACAAGGCTGCACTTGAATACACAAGAACACTCCTTGTGACTGAAGAATTTAAGGACAGTTCACCACGTTTTCATTACACTTGAATTTTATTATAATTTAAGTTCATGTTTTACTCATGCTCTTGCTCATGCTCTTGGAGTTAGTATTCACGCTGTTAAGCGCTGCACTTTTATATCCATCCATGTAAACAATACAGTTCTCTCCCTTGTCAGCTCCTGCACACTGCTTTGTATGGCTCTGCATAGCAGAGCCATACAAAGCAGTATGATTACAGTTGAAAGCACACACAGCTTACTGTGAAACAGCACACAGTTAACCCTTTGATCGCCCCACATGTTAACCCCTTCCTGCCCAGTGCCATTAGTACAGTGTCAGTGCTTTTTATTAGCACTGATCACTATATTGGTGAAATTGGTAAAATTCCTGAGCATGTCCTAGAGCTCTGTACCGTACTGTATCAGCAGATGGATTGGGGACAGCTGAAGAAGCAGAGGATGAGAGAAGACAAACAGCACTTTTTACACAATGTGGAGGATTAACCCCATGGGTTCCACAGTGAGTGTAACAAGCATGCTTTACTGCATATACAGACTGATATTAGTTGGTTTAGTAACACTTTAACCGCTTAAGGACCGCCCTATAGCAGATATACTGCTACAGGGCGCTACCTGTGTGCAGATCCGAATACACACATATATATATATATATATATATATATATATACACACATACACACATACATACAAACACACATAGATACACGTCATTTTGCATTTCCGGGTAG